TACATAGTGATTCAGTACTGTTAACTTTAATTTGCAGATAGATGCATTCACATTCTCACTGCCTCAGACCACCGATTGAGAAAATATGTTGTACGTAAAGAGCTTACATTTATATTGTTAAAAAAAAAAAAAACATAATTCGACCACAACACATCTCACAGTAGTTCATTATATAAGGCAGCTCTATTAAGGCATAACGCTGCACAGCTCCGGTCTCTGGTCAGTCTCAGTAAAACTATCAGTACTGATGCCATGGGATTTGAGGATGTCTAACAGCTCAGAGATGGTCTCTTTAGGAAGTGTGCGGGTCCTGCTCATGATCCAGGAAAACTCAGCACGAAAGAGACCGGCGAAATCCGAGCAAGAGTAAACCAGGGTGTAGTTGTCATAATCAGTAGCCAGCACCCAGTAGGGGGCAGGAGGAGAATCTGAAAGAGGACATATCACAAAGAACTCAAATCACAGATTCTTAAAATAAATAAAGAAATAAACTAAGAAGAATGATTGGTTTAGACTTACCTTCAAAGAAGCGGACTTCAAGTTTGGCAGGCTCTGATGCATCTACAATCTTGGCAGTTCCTTCAATGAAACTTATAGTGCCATTAGCACTGTGAAGATGTTCAGTGAAATGATATTAGGTGAAGTTATTTTATAAGTGCAGAACTATTTTAAATATTCAGAATATTAACAAATGTTTTTTTTATTTTAAAACATTTTTATTTACTCATATATTGTGAAAAGTATTTTGAACATGAATATAAATTAAATATGAACAAATATATTGTGATTTTTTTATTTTATTTTATTATTTACTCCTATATTGTAGTAATTGTTTATCAGTACTTACAGAAGCTCATCATTTCGAACCAGGACAATACCGTCACTGAGAGTATAAGTGGCCTGGCAGCAATCTCCCAACTGGAATGGGGCTGGAATCTTCATGATCTCATGCCATCTGCCCATGTACTAAAGGGCAAAATGATGAGAAATAATGCAACACAAATTTTTTTTTGGGTGAAAAATGCAGATAATTAATTTTTATTAATTATACATTTGTTCCTGATAATAAAAAATAATATAAAGATTAAGAAACATTTATAAGAAAAAGCTTACCCTAGTAGGATCAAAGTTTTGCTGAACAGGAGGCTGTGGGCATTTTCCAGAGCCGATGGACTGAGCGCTGACCGCCAGCACAGACAGCAGAGTCAGAGACAGAACCTGAAGAGCCTGCATTCTCTCAGTTTAAACCTGAAAAAAGAGTCATATTTAATGAGAACAAGAAGAAATTTGGCTTTAAGACTTGGATAGTTGAGATTCAAATGCTGAGCATCTTACCTGTTTGGTCTCAAGTGTGAAACTTGTGTTCAAGGTAAAGAACAGCGACAGAGTTCAGTATTTATAGAGCTTTACATCGGTTCGTTATATCACTAACTCCATCCCCCTCAACTAAAACAGGTTTGGGGAACCTGGGCATCTGCTCAACAAGATACTGAAGTTGTATAAGATACTAAATAAACACACCTTGAGTTGTTGAGTGATGGACGGGTCACCACAGCTTTCCACATCCTTGAAACTAAAGGTGTAAAAGACATTCAGAAGGTTTCCTAGAGGATATATGTGCATGTTAATAACCAATTATTTGACTTATTTTATATGATTGTACAATGCAAAAACACAAAACAAAACAAAACAAACAATAGTCACAAATTCTGACTGATGTGACAGGACACACAAAAGCTTTAATATAAGTGAGTGTGACAGTCAATGTTTCATATCTGTAACCTTAGCAACATTTTAGTCTGAATATTCATTTTAAAGACATGTATAAAACAAAGAAAAATATATTTTGTGTAGCTATTTTGTGTTTTGTTGTATATTTTGATCATATTTTGTGTTTTGCATCTCTACTTGAATTGCCAGTTTTGCCCTACACTCCATACTGGATTTTGTCCACTGACTATGAGAATTCAGCGCTGGTGTATTCATGCACTGATGTCTTGAGACTGTTCCACGTAGACTTTGCTTGAATTCTGGGCTGCACCCGATCCCTGCCTGCAACCATGGACATTTTATCTAGGATGCTCTTGAATCTATCAAAGTTCAGATTATGTTGGTTTGTTGGACAGGTGTTGATTTGTGACAAAGTGCTTTGCTTTCAAGTCTGAGAACTTTATTTTCATTAGTCCATAGGCCTACATTTGCTTCTAAAATATTTGTAGGCTTTGTCACATTTAAGGTGGATATTGGTTTTTGTGCCTTTCTCAAGTTAAACTTTAAATATCTATACATTTGGACATTTTAAGTCTGCCAGGAAGGTTCAAAACTTTGAAAATAATGCTTTAGTTTGTTACCCATGATATAGTATATAAGTTTGATGTTCTTCTCTTAACATATGCAATAAGATGTTATAGTTTTCTTCATTCATCCTTTTGTTACGAAAAGGGTGTGCAAAGTATGTCCTCAACACGAGGTCGAGTCACACGTGAATCCTTCATGTTCTTATCACAGCAGTGTTGTTTAACTTCTCACAAACACCTGCAACATGCAAAACACTCAGCTACACTAGGTAAGAATGAGTAGGATATTGCCACAGAGAAACAATAGAAAATTCCTTTAAAAAGTTTTTAAATGCTCAATGCTCAAGCCCAACATTACATAACGGGAGAAACTAAATATTAGTTTAAAAAGGATAACGCAAGAACTGATTCAGAAACAAAAATAAGTAATAAATGTCAGATTCTTTTTGCCAGCGAAGCATTTGTGATCAGACAGATGAGCATCCTCCTCAATGTCCTCCTGTTGGTCAGCATCACCATTACAGACAGTAAACATGCTGCTGATTTTAGGTTCATCGTCACAGCTCACAACTTACTGCCCTGAACTAGTCAAAAATAAGTTTAGAAAGGAAAACAAGGTTGTTTTAAAAGACATTAATTGTCACTAATTAGGATTTCTTCTACCATGAGGTTTTCTTTGAGCTCAGTTAACTGCAGGTAAGTGCAAAAAAGTGAAAAAGTTTTAAAAAGTGTGTGGAAGCTCCATGATTTGACTAGTGTTAATTACACCTCAGTGAACACAAGAACATGTGACAAAATCATCACGGCAAGAGAAGTTCCATTTACCATTCTAGTACTGTTGGAAGCTTGTGTAAAAATGAAAGGATTTGCTCTACAGACATCTAATGGTTTGATTCGCAATTGTGTTCATGAAAGTTAAAGGACAAAACTGGACAATCTTCAGCAGCTTGTTTCAGTTTATCTAACATGCTTGCAAGCTTTTCATATGAAGTTTATGGCAGCATAAAAAGCTATTAAACATAAGTATAATCTGACATGTGGTGTAAATGACATACATTTGAATCAGCAGTAGATTGTGAAAAACTACAGAAACCATCTACATCTGAGGAGGCTTATTGACATGGATGTGAATGCTGAAGAAGAAGAGCATCTCCAAGTATTTCAATAATAACACTTCTTTTTCAAATGATGCATTAATGTCATCTGGTGCATGTTAAATTGCTTTGCTAACTATTGGCAAAATATGTAGAAAGGAAAGGTTCCTGCAAGAACAGCCTAAAACAATGCCTAACTATTGATTAACATTATAATGTCAACTAAGTTAGTTCCTTATGAAATGTACTGTTTTGATCAAAAAGCAAAATCTTTTTTCTAAAAAATAACTGGTGATGATTATACAAAGCAAATGAAAAGAATAGCTTACAATACACTCTTAAAAATAAAGGTGCTTCAAAAGGTTCTTCACAGCAATGCCATTTTTTTGTTCCACAAAGAACCATTCAGTCAAAGGTTCTTTAAAGAACCATCTCTTTCTTACCTTTTTATAATCTGAAGAACCTTCTTTTGCCACAAAGAACCTTTTGTGAAACAGAAAGGTTCTTCAGATGTTAAAGAATCTTTATGGAACCATTTAGACAAAAAGGTTCTTCTATGGCTTAGTAAAGCACCTTTATTTTTAAGAGTGTATCTGACATAAACAAAACCATTTTTGTATGCATAAGAACAAATGACAAAAGACAGCATTTTACAATTTTTATATTTATTCAAAGTCTGCATAAGGAACAACGGAGGTATTTTGTAGACATCATTCAGCTGTTTAAAGAAAGAAAAGTGACATGAGAAATGCATAAATAGGATTAAATTAAAAGCTTTAGTTTACATAGTGACCTATGATTCAGTACTGTTAACTTTAATTTCCAGATATAGGTATTCACATTCTCAAGCAACAGACCACTGATTGAGAAAATATGTTGTATGTAAAGAGCTTACATAGAGTGAAAAATTGAAGGGGGTCTGAATACTTTCCGTACCCACTGTAAATGGCCTGGCAACAGTCTCCCAACTGGAACCGGGCTGGAATCTTTGTGATCTCATACCATCTGCCCATGTACTATGAAAGGACAAAATTATGAGAAATTATGCAACAGGACTGAAAATGCAGATAACCTTGTAGCTGAAAAATGTTGATATGAAGGTTGTTATGAATTAATACAAATTTTCTACTATTTTTGCTGTAATTTGTTATCAATGTGATATTTTTCTTATTTTTTCCTTGTCTTCCTCTTGACTTTATTATGCTAAAGTTGCTTAAGATGATCATATGTTCTTGATAATAAAAACAAATAAAAAAAAAATAAAATAAGGATTAAGATAGCAAGTAAAAGTTTACCCTAGTAAGATCAAAGTTTTGCTGAACAGGAGGCTGTGGGCATTTTCCAGAGCCGATGGACTGAGCGCTGACCGCCAGCACAGACAGCAGAGTCAGAGACAGAACCTGAAGAGCCTGCATTCTCTCAGTTTAAACCTGAAAAAGAGTCATATTTAATGAGAACAATATTTTTTCCTTGTCTTCCTCTTGACTTTATTATGCTAAAGTTGCTTAAGATGATCATATGTTCTTGATAATAAAAACAAATAAAAAAAAAATAAAATAAGGATTAAGATAGCAAGTAAAAGTTTACCCTAGTAAGATCAAAGTTTTGCTGAACAGGAGGCTGTGGGCATTTTCCAGAGCCGATGGACTGAGCGCTGACCGCCAGCACAGACAGCAGAGTCAGAGACAGAACCTGAAGAGCCTGCATTCTCTCAGTTTAAACCTGAAAAAAGAGTCATATTTAATGAGAACAAGAAGAAATTTGGCTTTAAGACTTGGATAGTTGAGATTCAAATGCTGAGCATCTTACCTGTTTGGTCTCAAGTGTGAAACTTGTGTTCAAGGTAAAGAACAGCGACAGAGTTCAGTATTTATAGAGCTTTACATCGGTTCGTTATATCACTAACTCCATCCCCCTCAACTAAAACAGGTTTGGGGAACCTGGGCATCTGCTCAACAAGATACTGAAGTTGTATAAGATACTAAATAAACACACCTTGAGTTGTTGAGTGATGGACGGGTCACCACAGCTTTCCACATCCTTGAAACTAAAGGTGTAAAAGACATTCAGAAGGTTTCCTAGAGGATATATGTGCATGTTAATAACCAATTATTTGACTTATTTTATATGATTGTACAATGCATTTTTACATAAGGCAAAAATAGTCACAAATTCTGACTCGTGACAGGACACACAAAAGCAGAGGTGTTCAACTCTGTTTCTGGGGACCCACTGTCCTGCAGAGTTTAGCTACAACCCTAATGAAACACACCTGAAGCAGCTAATCAAGCTCCTCGTGCTGAAGCAGGTTGGAAAATAAACTTTGCAGGACAGTGGGTCCCCAGGAGCAGGGTTGAGGACCTCTGCACAAAAGCTTTAATACGTGAATGTGACCATCTAAGTTTACCGTCTGTCACCTTAGCAACAGTCTGAAGAATAAGATGGATGTTTGTTTGTAACAAAGTGCTTTGCTTTCAAGATAACTTAATTTTCATTAGTCCATACATTTGCTTCTAAAAGATGTTAAGGTTTTGTCACATTCAGGGCGGATATTGTTTTTGGTGCCTTTATGAAGTTACACTCTAAATGTCCATACATCTGGACATTTTATGTCTGCCAGGAAGGTTCAAAACTTTGAACATAATGCTTTAGTTTGTTACCAATGAAATAAATTAATAAAATAAATAAATAAAAGCATCTGCTAAATTATTAAATGTAAATAAATATACTGGCTAAAAAATAAAACTTTATACATTGCTTTTTTAACGTTTTAAGTTCATCTACAGGTGCATCTCAATAAATTAGAATATCATGGAAAAGTTCATTTATTTCAGTAATTCAACTCAAATTGTGAAACTTGTGTATTAAATAAATTAAATGCACACAGACTGAAGCAGTTTAAGTCTTTGGTTCTTTTAATTGTGATGATTTTGGCTCACATTTAACAAAAACCCACCAATTCACTATCTCAACAAATTAGAATATGGTGACATGCCAATCAGCTAATCAACCTTTTCCACGACATTCTAATTTATTGAGATGCACCTGTAAAACATAAGATGTTATACAATTTTCTTCTATTCATCCGTTTGTTACAAAAGGGGTGTGCAAAGTTATTTCCTCAGCTGGAGGTCGAGTCACACGTGAATCCTTCATGTTCTTATCACAGCAGTGTTGTTTAACTTCTCACAAACACCTGCAACATGCAAAACACTCAAGAGCCCTAGATAACAGATATAGGATCTTACCACAGAGAAGCAATAAAAAAAATCCTCAGTTTAATCAATGATCAAGCCCAACCTGACATAACGGGAGAAACTAAATGTGAGTTTAAAAGGGATAACGTATGATCAGATTCAGAAACAAGAATAAGTCATAGCCTAAATGTCAGATTCTTTTGGCCAGCGAAGCATTTGTGATGATCAGACAGATGAGCATCCTCCTCAGCATCACCATTACAGACAGTAAACATGCTGCTGATTTTAGGTTCATCGTCACCGCTCACAGACCACAACTTACTGCCCTAAACTAGCATATGTCAAAAATACGTTGAACTTGAAAAACACAAATGATATGTTTAGAAAGGGGAAAAATTGTTGTTTAAAAGACAAAGAATTGTGACGTTAAGTTCAGTTTAGATACTCATTCATAATGGAACATTCTCTCTCATGACTTCAATTTGCTTAATCACTTACTTCATGTTGGGAATAAACTCTGGTCTCACAAAGACTCCTTCGTGACATGTCTCTTCTGCAGTCACATGATCCCAGAGGAGAATGATTCAAATAAATAGTCGGAGCTCCACAGTCAATCTCGTATTCAGTCAGCAAGACTTTTAAGAGGTAAGGGTTTGTTTAATTATTTTGGTCAAACTGTCCTCTATAAAATAGTTGTTTCACAAGAAACTAAATATGTATACTGTAAACTACTGTTCAATTATTTTGGAAAGAAGTTAATACTTTTATTCAGCAAAGGGTGCATTAAATTGATCGAAAATTACAGTACGGACATATATAAAAGGTTTCTATTTCAAATAAATGCTGTTCTTTTCAACTTTATATTTATCAAATAATCCTGAAAAAACATCAGTTTTCTTTTAACATTGATAATAACCAAAAGAAACGTTTCTTGAGCACCAAATCAGCATATTAGAATGATTTTTAAGGATTATGTGACAATGAAGACTGGATTAATGGGTGCTGAAAATTCAGTTTTGCCATCTCAGAATTAAATTAGCCTACATTTGAAAATATATTGAAAAAGGAAACAATTATTTTAACTTGTCATAATATTTCACAATATTACTGTATTTGGGATCAAATAAATGCAGCCTTGGTGAGCATAAGAGACAAAACATTTTTCAAAATCTTATTGAAACCAGATTTTGAATGGTAGTGAATGTGCATCTTAGAATGTATGCAGTATAACTATAAGGGCTAAACAAGTAAAATGAAGGCCTTGCTGGTTGTTTTGGCCCTCTTTCTGCCCATCATAAATGCCCAGGTGCCACACTGGGGGCCGTGCCCAGAGCCTGCTACTCAACCTGCCTTCAACCTAAAGAAGGTAACATAGGCTACTCTGCCACAGCTTGTGCTATTAACCGGTCTTCTATTCTGCTCTTAAATGTTTTCTGAATCCTAATGTAGTTTATGGGCAGGTGGTTTGAGATCGCTAAACTTCCAGCACAGTTTGAGCGAGGGAGATGCATTGAGACTAACTTCACTCTCAAGCTGGATGGAACGGCTCATGTAGTGAGCTCTGAAATTCTGTGGGTACCAACATCTAAATCACAGTTTTGTATAATTCCGTAGACTTATATAAGAGGTAACAGTTAAACCGTAAACGCTATTTTAATTAGAAAAGGAGAGTTAAAAACAATTGACGGGACAGCTGTGGTGGAAGATAAAAGAAATCCAGCAAAGCTTGGAATCAGTTTCTCTTACGGTACAAATCTGATTTTCTTTTTTCAAATGCCTTGCTGTTGCCATAAGTAATGACATTTCTAATTTAGAATTAATAGGAAACAACATGCTTGCCTAAATCATATTTTGTGTTTTGCATCTCTACTTGAATTGCCAGTTTTGCCCTACACTCCATACTGGATTTTGTCCACTATGAGAATTAAAGCGCTGGCGTATTCATGCACTGATGTCTTGAGACTGTTCCACGTAGACTTCGCTTGGATTCTGGGCCGCACCCGATCCCTGCCTGCTGCCACAATCGACCACGGAAAAGAGGTTTTTACCAACAACAACATCGATGTGAGTCGGATGATCTTAAGCAGACAGCAGGGATGTGACAAAGACCTTTAAATGACTGGATAATCTTACTGGATAATCCTGTTTCCAGTGGAATGTGACAAAGACATTTGAATTACTGGAAAATCCTGTTTCCAGTGTTGAGATGTTTTGTGTTGAACAAACTGTGGACTACAGAAGTAGTATACTATTCCTTTTAATAAAAATAACTGCTCGGTTTATACACATTCTTATTTAATTAAATGGCCATGGAGTCTTGGACTTATTACATTATTTTTTCCAGGTTTGCAAACCAGAAATGTAATCCATCTTCTTTGGGAGTTATTGTACAGAATTATTGTACAAAAGCACAAGTTTCCAATTGATCAAAATAAATTAGAGCACTAACCAAAACCATGTGAACTTGGTTGGTTTAATTCTCAGTAACTGTTGTACATTTAGCACCTCCTTGTGGTCATAGAGGAAAAAAAAAAAAAAACATGAACATGAAATAATGTGCAAATACTTTCAATTCACAGATATAGAAGTAAAAACGATATCCGCCATGTTAGCAGTGTTATTTCAGTAGCTTTTGTTCATATTTCAATATATAGTTAATATATCAATATACAGTTTGTTTTTAGTTTTAGTCATTTTAGCACTTAAACTAAATGAACATGAGAAACATTGCATGGGCAACAAGCTGGAATAAAAGATTAAAAAAAAAGATTTTTATTTCAAGTAATGTTTTTTTTTAAATATAGTTATAGTATTAAACAACAAAAACCTTGCATGGAGAAGAAAAAAACATGGTGAAACATTTGTTTACCAGAAGTTTATTTCAACATTTAAAGAGTTTCACAGGAAAGGAAACTTGTTTTGCACTGATTGACAGGGTCACAGATGTACACTTGGTTATTCAGATTAATGAAACAAGCATACATACTGTAGAGACCTGAGATAATAATAGAAAGCACAGTCACAGGAAGATTAGTCATGTAACAAGGTATTTTCTAGAATTTTCTGATCTTAGTTTTCATTACTTCATCTTATAAAGGAAAAAGTACATGTGAGAGGGAAGCATATCTGTTTTCATCCATGTTTATATAATGTGTGTTCAACGGAACTGCAGTGGGCTGACACGCAATCCGATCACATCTTTACCAATCTCGGTTACCTAGGAAACAAGAGAGAAACAGCCAATGAAATCGATCCTTCACTTTATAGCACCGCATGATCAGATGGAACAAGGGGAAAAGCAGAGCTACTTTGTCACATATTAACAAAATTAGACTTTCTATCTTCAATAAACTAACACTAATTAAACATGGACATTACAAGGGCTTACAACTAACCTGTGTGACCCTGCAGACCTCTCCTTTGTATTTGGGGCAGTAGCAGGCTCCAGACAGGGGACATTTCTCCACTGGCCGCCCACGGTACAGGGGAGTGAAAGAGGCTGGGCAGATGTCAAAGGGATTGTGGGGGTCGTAGTTCAGTTGGTGAGCATCTGTCAGGCTCTTCTCACATGCTGCAAGAATCTTTCGTGTCTGAAAAAGTAAAGACGGGAGCAACAGGTTATTAATGAAAATGTACACACAAGGAAAATAAAAAAAAAAAGAAGGGGGCCAGGACCTATTAGGGGGCCTCTAGATACTCTCAAGGGGGCTACAAGATGGCTTAAAATTGGTAATTATTAAATATATTAAAATGATTTTAAATTAAAAACAAGCTTTTTATTTGAATTAAAAATTTAAATTATTTGTGTGTATTTGTTATTTTAATTACATTTATTTTTTATATTTTTTACATACACAGTATGCTGACACAAATAACAAGATCCATTAGTTTTTTTTTTATACTAACAACTTTTATCTCAACTTTTAATGTGAGAAAAACTGTCTGACTGAATAGCTATGGGTTAGGGGATACTTGTGTAAAAAATTACAACAATTATCCATTTACCTGTTGTGCCACTTCTGGTTTGGGACCCAACTCAAGCAGACGGCGAGCAAAACCCGCTGCTGTTTTGAAGTTCCGCAGTTTGAAGAAAAGATTGAGTGCTGTTCTCAAAACCAACACCATGTGGATTGGTTGCAGACTGCAATGTGTGAAATATGCTGCCATCTGAAACATACACAGAGAAATATTAATTAAAATTTTACATTTTAATATAAATTTTTTTAATATTTAAAAATTACAATTTTAGAATTTAAAAAAATGCATGTACTTCACAAAGTCTCTTTTGTTGATCGAGAGTGTCTTTGGGAAGTTTCTTCCTCTCTGTCTCCATAGTGAGGCCAATAATATACTCTTTACATATAGTGATAAGCTGTTGAGCCTGAGTGAAAGTAAAGAGAATGTTTAGTAACCCCTATATAAAACAATATACTACTCATCCTGCATGAAAACACACCTCTGCAATCTCTTGTTTGTTGTCGACCACAAGCAGTGGTACGGAGAGGAGAACGGCTGTGAAACGATCAACAGCTTCTTCAAAGCGCCCCGCTGTGGTCAGCTGATAGCACTGCTGCAGGCGGGAAATGAGATCAGAGAGACGCAGGCCCACCGCTGGCAGACCTCCTTTAGCCCCGCTGTCCTTCCAGTTCCTCTGGGGGTAACTGTGTAAGCAGGGCAGAGATGGCAGGCCCAGGTAACAGGTGCGCCCACGGGACAGAGTTTGCATGAACAGTTGCTTATAGGGTCCAAACTGAACCACACCAACCTGGTCATGCAGCAACTGTAGAAAAGGGAACAAAAAACATGAGACAGCAAAGAAACATCTGCTACGTTACAATTTAGTAGTTTAGACTCAATACTGATTTTCTTTCCTGCCTCAAAAGCTTTTAACTTCACAAATATGTCAGGAAATCAGAAATATCCGAAGTACAAATTGATCTTTAGTTTTGTGAGATCCGTTTACCCTCATAGCAGTCTCAAAAGATCCAGCCAATAAGTGATCCACCGCCAGCTGAGAGTTGTTGCACCACATCTGCGTGGGGCTTGTGCCCTTGGTGGGCGGCACAAAGAAACCTTCGCCCTCTGCGCCACCTCCGCCAACAGAAGGTACATCCTATTGGTTAAAGGAAAGACAAGATACAAGGTTACGTAGGATTCTGTTTAAAACCCATTCACAAACAGTTGTGATTTTTATTTCAGTTCTACACCAGATTTACCAGTTCTGGCGGGAGGTCCAGATCTTCCTCAACATCCCAGCCTCCTCCTTCCTCTTTCCCAATAGCTCCCTCATCTCCCAATCCCTCTTGAGCATCCATAAATCCATCTGGATTATGAGAGAGCATAAGTGATTCGATCGTTTGGTCTAGTTTCCTCCTTCAAAAACAGTTTTATAATAGTAAATACCTTCATCCAAATGAAGTTCTGCATCTTCTCCCCAACCTTCTCCTCCTGAAGTATCCATGTCCAGGTCAGCAACCATCTGACCAGCACGTCCTATTCGAACAACCACAAAAATACATGTTATTCTTCAACATGAAATCCCTCCACCTTCATAAATCCTGGTTACCCACTATGAGCCAGTATGAGTATCACAAAACCTCACCTTTGGCAGCAATGGCTCCCTCGAAGAAGCCCTTGGAGACGGTGAGCAGAGGCCAGTTGGTATCCAAGGGGTTGATGGGAGGTGGCGGCTGCAACAGCTGGGCATTGGGGTCCACTTCTGGCACCTGCACATGGATGGAACCCATCGCTCAATCATTCATCTACAAATTAGTGCATCTCTGTTAGTAATGAGAATATAACATGCCATTTCTTTTTCCAGGTCAAAGGTCTCCTTCAGGGCTTCAGCCTCCTCATCCATCCCATGAGTGGCAGCAGTCAGGTAAGCCAGAGACTCTGAGAATGTATGTGATATAGAAGTCATTTTCTTTTAATAAATCTCAATAAAACAATCATGTGAACAAAATAAAAGTGACAGCACTCACTCTGTCCACAGTTCTTCAGGATTCGCACACGCTCACTGACGTCACCCAGATAAAGAGCGCCCTGATAGTGTCCACTCATGTCCTTTCTTATCTCAGCTGTAACATGAACCACAAAACATCATTCAAACAATCCATAAAAATGAATTATCCTTAAGAAAACCAATAGGCTACCATTCAAAAGTTTGGGGTCAATTCGATAACCACAAGACTATTGAGCAGCAACATTATTTTCAACATTGTTAATAATAGAAAACAATTACTTTAAAATGTAATACCATTTCACAATATTGCTGTTTTTACTGCATTTCTGATCAAATCAATGCAGCCTTGGTAAATAAATGAGACTTCTTTCAAAAACATTTAAAATTCCTACCAACCACAAACTTGTGAATGGTAGTGTACTCATGATTTTTCCTCGCCACTCACCTATCTTCATCATCTTCCTGAGCTTGGCCAGGTTGCCAGTGATAAGGTACAGGAAGGTGAGTTTGTCAAAGTTCTTGGTTCTCTGGTAGCACATCTCCACAACCTGGTGATGGCCCTGCAGAAGCGCAGCCTCGCCGAGACGCTCCCAGCAGCTACGTTCATCCAGGGCTTTTGCAGCCTCTAACGCCACCTGCAGGAACAAACAAATCAAGACTGAACACCTGTTCAGGCAAAAGTGTTGAAGACTTGATCCTCCATAAATGTTAGTTCTGTATACCTCAATGTTTCCACACTCCAGAGCCAGGCTGAAACGAGTCTTCTCATCTTTGACGAAGTGCAGCGCAACCTCTGGGTAGCCCTTCTTCTGCAGGTAGGCAATGATGGACTGGCCTACCAGTTTAGCGTTACGCACCATATGAAGAACCTGAGGGTGTTGGGTAGAAAAAAAAAAGGGCCATTACCAGTGTTGCTATTGTTAACTAAAACTAAATCTATTATTTCAATTACTAAAAACAATTTTAAAAGCCAAATGTAATACATAAAAATAAAGCAAAACAGAAATTAAATAAAATGAACACTAATAACACAAATAAAATAAAAACGCGACTTCGAAATATTAATACATACTATAATAGTATATGAATAACACTAAAATAATGGTTATTAAAGGCAAATCAGAATGTGCAAAAAAGATTGACAGAGGCAGTTACTGAAAATAAAATAAAATAA